CTGCACATGTGTGGGCAATACGCTGTAACTGCCTATATAAGGAGCTCTGCCCGGTGCTCTGGCTGCGTGGCTGCAGGAGAGCAGAGGCTGGAGTGGTGGCAGCATGCAGGACAGAGACAGAGCCAGCTGCCGGGCGGAGAGGCCCAGAGACAGAGACCGGCTTGCTGCGTGCAGACTTGCTCTGAGTGGACATGATTCTAGTGCTTGACCTGCCACCATGGGAATAAAGTTGGGTATAAAGCCTTTCACCCCAAGAATATTCCACTGTCATTTTTCGGTCTCACTGAATCAAGAGTGAACTTGCCCGGGGCTGAAACCCACTGGCAAGACAATCTCTCTATTCTAAGCTTTTTCTTTAAGTCTAAGCAAAGATCCCATGCAGAAGACACATGGTTCCACTACAGAATCGAGAGCCATTTTTAAGCTCTGATTCAATACTAATTCACTCACATTCCCACACATTTCCTGCAAAATATGGAATCATTTTCCTACCAAAAAAAGCTGATGGTTTACCTGAGATGCAAATGATGCAATTGCTTCTGTCTGACTCGGCTCTGAACCCTAAGGATACCCTTCACTGTGGCCACCTGCACAAGAGTGCTACAACCAATGTCCAGGTGGCCCCCTCCTGCCAGGAGCCCTCCTGCAGCTGCTTTCCTGCCCATCAAAGGTTTCTCATGCACAAGGTCCCTACGTGGCCCAAAGGCCTCGCCTCACCTCTGTGGCGTGGCCTCCTGTCTCGCTTCTCTCCGAGCTCACTCCATGCGGTTCTTGCACACTTCCTAAGGATCTCTGCCAGGCAACTCCCCTGGCCAGAACACACCTTCTGTACCTCCCCACATCCTACCTGCTGCTCCAATGTCACCTTCTCTGGCAGGCCTGCTCTGACCCTCTATTTAAAGTCCCAATCCCATCGCAGCCCTCGTCTTGATCTGTTTTCCTAGCACTGGAGCCTTCAGATGGCTGTTCCATCAATGTCCACCGTGCTGCCCGTCTTTGGCCGACCACGAGAAGGTGAACACCACAGGCAGAGCGTGCTGATTTTTCACGGATAAACACTCAATAATAAATAGTTGCTATATGAATGCTAGGGAAGGGAAAACTGTAAAGGAAAACGTGGCATATCGTGGACAGTAAACGTTTGGGCAATTGCAAATTGGCCGTGCCAGGGCAGATAGAACAGCTCGCTACACACGGTCGCTTATTCCTTGAGGGAGAGCACTTACACCGGAACCGCCCTTTCAAAGGGTGTCTTTGTGAGGAAGCGTTGGGCCCCTTTTTGAATCCTAGCCCTGAGAGCTGACTCCGCCAGCCCTCGGGCTGCCTCCGCCCCCACCCCATGCCAGCAGGAGGCTCCTTGGAGGGGAAGCAGTCCCGATCCCTCTATTACTCAGGAAAAGCCTCTCCACCACACGGAGCTGATAATCATGTGCAATTGGCAGGAGACGGGATCATCAGTTCGGTAACATTCTTTCTTCCACTTTAAAGGCGAATGACTTCCAACCTCAGATCTCCAGATTTTGGCTCTAATTTTAATGTGTATGCTGGGTCTCCTGCATGTGACACAAGTCCCTCCTCATCATAGGAAGATAAGCTTCGGTAAGAGACAACTCATAACCTGGCAATAAACTCTTACCTATAAAAATCCTGAATCTGTAATTTTCACATTGTTGGTTTGTTTTCCCTAAGATATTTTGGAAAACATACTGCTGAAAGTTTCAAAATTGCTTCTTATTCAAACATAGGGACAATCTCACTCTAAAAGGCAATTCAGATACAAGCCCCAACTTCCGTCAAGCTCACCATCTTTCATTCAGTTCTGGGGGCGGGTCACAACCTGTCCCCCAAATACCTGAGGTTGGATTTTCCTCTCTGGAACAACTCCACTGCCCTTTTCACGTCTGTCCACCTGGGACTAGGGGGTGTGCCCTCAGGGAGTGCTTTTCAGAAGGTGAAGTTTCCAGTTTCCCGGTCTAACTTCCAAAGGACTAGGATGACGTTTCAAATACCTTAAATAATAAAATTAAATAAGGGATCAAAATATAGATTCTAAAGATTTGTGTTTACCAGCTGTATCCATTAAAATAAAGTAAAATAAATTGTGTAAATGCTACTCTTACTCTTCCCTGAATGTGAAGAAAATATGTACAAAATTGTGAGTTGAGTATATCTAAAATTATGTCTCTTTTAAATGTGCACAATGTTTCTCAATGTTATACACTGCCGTTGAAATTCCTCATTATAGAGATTGGAAGGCTCCCCCCTTAAGGTAGCAACACGGGGGTCCAAAACTGTGTAGCAATACATGGGAACACTTGAGAAGGAAACAATTTAAAAGCACAGAACATATAAAAAGCCTTTAAATACTGACAGGAGAAGCCAGCAAGATGCAAAAACTTAAGAGGTCAGTTAAGACGGCCAGCAGGCCAGGAATCATACAATTTACATTATTTATAACAGAAGCCTGAAAACGTCCATGGCTCAGGGGCATCTGTACATAACCCCTCCTTCCTGCAGGGAAAGCGAAGTCTCCTACAGTAACAAGAGATTCTATGCCTTCTGGAACATTTCTAAATATATCCCTTACAAATGCTTCTTAAAAAAAAAAAAAAAAAAGGCAAGAATGTGTGGCGTAGCTGATATTCCGTCTTCAAACTGCTCACGGAGTCTACAAAGAAAATTCCCGTAGCTCAAAGACCAGAGTCGGCTGGCTTTCACCTCCTCTGGCGGGTTATCACACAGCCCGCCGGCGGAGAGCTCCCCCCGTTATGTAAGAGCCTCCTGCACGGGTCGCCGGGCGATCACTGCGCCGCGGAGCGCACCGGGAACAGCCCGGACGAGTTTCACTAAGCCAACAAAACGCGCAGGTTTCCGACGTGCCGGCGTTCCTCGAGGACAACCCACCGGTCGGAGGGGGGGGCCGCGGGCCGAGACGCCCACGCTCCAACCCTGGGGTCTTTCAGGACCTGGCCTCCTGCCTGGCAGCACCCCCTCCCCCTCCCCAAGTGAACGCCCCTAGGGTACCGCCCACGTGCCCGGCACAGGTAAGGGCCCCGCACGTGTAAACACTGATGAACAGGGCCCGCCACCATTTCCCGCTGGCAGGGAGGCCGTCGGGACGCGACGGGGCCCCCGACGGTTCCCGGGCCGAGGCGCACCCCGGTTTCTGCCGAGTCCCGGCCGCCGCGGCCCCCGCGCCCAGGCCCTGCTGTCCACGTCCCCCGCAGGAGCGCGCGCCGCCCCGCACTCACTGTTGTACTGCACCCCCTTGGCGAAGCGCCTCTGCAGCGCCTGGTTCATGGACTGCAGCCCGGCGGGGATGTTTTTGTCGCGGCCTGGAGCCTGCTCCGACCCCACCAGCTTCTTGAGCGCGGAAAACATCTTCCTGCTCCCGCGTCCGAGCCCGGCGCGGCCCGCGAGTTCAGTGGCAGCGACGGCGGCAGCGCGGCGCGGGTCGCACCATGTCCTGGGACTCGGCGGCCGAGCGCCTGCCTCGAGGGCGGCTCGGGGGCTCAGCCGCGGCGGCTCCGCTCCGGCCCCCGCGGCTCCCGGGACGGCCTACCTCCGCCCGTCAGCGCCGCCATCTTGACACCGGCTGGGCGGGGCGCGCAGCTACGGGACACCGCGAGGGTCACGGGATGCGGTGCGCATGCGCGGGGCGGCGGGGGGAGCCGGCGGCTTCGGCGTGGTGCGCGGCTACCGGGCGCCGCGAGGGCCAAGGAGGTCCCGCGGCGCGGAGCGTGCGCATGCCCGGGGCAGCCCGCGGGGTCTGGGATCAGCCCGGACACCTGTCCATGTCCCCCCGCCTGGACTCCCTATTCACGCCCCCTCCTCAATCCCGGGGCCTGGACCCATGCCGAACACACCACTTTCCCGCAGACCTCGCAACGCGTCCACCTGGGGTTCGCTCTCCCCGGGCCCGGCAGTCCAGGAAAAATGTTTATTTGCGTAACAAAGCCAGCGGGTTTGGGCCGGATCACTTCTTTTTCTTGGCGGCCTTGAGCTTGCCCTCGATGAGCCGCTGGGCCTGCCTCTTGATCCCGGGCCGCGACGGTACAGAGCCGTTGTCCACGTCGGCGAACCGGAAGGTTTCTGGGTGAGGGAGGGCGGAGGGCAGTTTGGGCAGGTGAGGACCCGGGGGGCAGACAGGGCAGGCAGGCGGGGAGGGCGGCTCGCCGAGTCTGCAAAGCAGCCCCCACTCCCCTCTCAGAGCTGCCTTGTCTTTACGGGCCTCTGCTCTTCCAAGGGCCAGTGGCAGTAACTGCCTTTTTTTTTTTAAAGGAGAACACAATCACTTTTGAGCCCATTTATGGTTGCAGACAGGGCGCCATTCTGTTCCTCGAAAACAAGCAGAGCCTCCAAAGGACAGAATGCAGCCTGTGCTGCAGGGGACCCCCCCCCCACACCATGCCCACCCCCACAGTGTCTGCAGGCCCTCCCTGCCCCCCCAAACCCACCTCAGATCCTGCCCTGTCTATATGGTTGGGCCTCTGCTCCTCAAAGGGTTAGTGGCATTAACTGCATTGTCCACTTTCCAAGTCCCTAGTTCTGGCATTCGGGGTCTGGCACACCGGGGAGTCGGCCACCCCAGGGCTAGCGGTTCCTAGAGCCGGCGGAGACTCGCCCAGCCCCGGCTCTTGTGCGCACTGCTCCAGGGCCCAGGACCCAGCCGCCTCCCTGAACACACTCTCACGGGCCTGTGTCTCCCACCTGAATCAATCCTGGGGCAGCCCCCATGCCCCAAGCCCACCGGAATTATTCAGAAGAGAACATCCCACGCAGTGTGCCCTGCCCTGCCCTGCCTGCAGGGACCCCGATGTAGGCTCTGGCCTAGGCCTGCCCGTGCTGCTCCCCGTCTCCTCATGGCCCAGGTGCTTCCATGACACGAAATGTGATAAATTTTCATTTCAATGGCATTATTCTTTCCAGATTCTGACTTTCACCTCAGTAAATTAAAACCCCCAGGTGTACAACTGACACACCTTCTCCAGCCGTGTAGACTGCACTGTCCCTCCAGGCTGCCCCGGTCAGACGGAGTGCATGCCATACCAGTCCCGGCCTCTGCACAGCTCAGCCCAGCCATCTGCCCCACACATCTTCCCGTTGCCAGGTGGCCTGGACCCCCTGGTCCTGAGCCTGTGCCTATCGTGTCCTCCTCCGGGTCCTCAAAGCTGATCCTGGTGTTCCGCTTCTCCAGCATCGAGGACTCCAGGGTGTCCCTCACTTTTGTGTTGACCTGTGGGGCACAGGGACTGTCCACTCCATGGGGACATGGGACATGTAGGCACTCCCGCCCCAGCCTGGGGCTACCTCCTCAGTCCTGGACATCGGCTGCGCTCTGTCAGCCAGACACAGGAGCTTCAAGGTGTTCACATCAAGGGTGCTGGGGTGCTGCTGCTTTTTGTAGGCCAGGAGGAGGATCTGGTCTTCCCTGGGGCCCCTGTTAGGGGCCCTCTGTGCAGGCGGCTCCTCCCCCTGCAGGTGGCACCTGGGCCTTGGGCGGGGCAATGCCGACCAGCCGGATGTAGAGGTGGTCGATGCCCGTCTGGATGGTCGTCAGCAGCAGCTTCTGGCTCTTGGTCACATTGCCACGGGCCAGCTGGAGCCTCTCCTCCTCCTCCAGCATGTCCTTCATCTTCTCGGCAGGTGGGGAGCTGGTGAGGACAATGGGGCAGTGGGTAGCACAGACACAAGGGCAAGGTGCCCAGGGTCCTAAGTTGGTTGCTGTGCTAAACTCAGGGTCTCAAGAGCTCAGAGGTGGGTTGCAGGTGCCAGTTGGGCCTGCAGCTCATGGGCAGAGCACCTGGACTCACTGGCAGGGGTCACCGCTCCAAGCCTGGTTCCAGCTCACAGGCTGTGAAGACCACCATGGGGGCCGTGGGGTGGCAGGGTCCCTTACCTGCCAGAGCCGGGTACCTGGTGGAGCCTCAGCACTGCGCCCTGCCTTTCCAGCTTGTCCATCAAGGCCTCCAGCTGCAGCTCCAGGTTCTCCTCTGTGTTCCTCTGAGCCAGGAACCGGCTTGTGATGCCCTGGCTGGGCAGTTGGGGAGGAAAGCAGGGCTGGGCTAGACAGGTGGAGGCCCCAAAGAACTGGCTTCTTCCAGGTCCCTCCCAATGGCTAGTAACGACGTTCACCCCACCAGGCTGGGGACTGAGGGCTTGTGAGGGGCTTGCCATCAGGTGGCACGTGTGTCACAATATCCTCCTAGTGTGCAGAGGGCAGACAACCCCATGGGGGAGGCAGGGAGGCCACTACTGAGAGGCTGTGCGGCTCGGAGTCACTGGCCCAAGGATGGAGCTTCTGCCAGGGCCAAGGCAGGAGCTCAAGGCTTGCTAATAACAAACCCAGATTGGATTAAAGTAAAAGGTGGGCAGCAGAGAGGCAGCTGCTCGATATGATGCCATCGGGTTGGGAAGGGGAGGAGTTGGAGGTAAAGGCCTGCCCTCGGCGTTTGGATCCTCAAATCCTGGCAGGCTTTGTGCAGCCCCTGGAATGTGGCTCGGATATGCCAGCTTTGTCTTGGCAGCACCCTTTACTCTGACCTGCGAGGGCTGCAGCTTTGTGTGCCCCTTTGTTCAAAATGTGGGCAGACCCCCACCCAGCTCAGCCAGCCCTTGGGCTAGAGCAGACCCCTCTTCCGCCCACGCCCCAGGCGTGTCAGGGAGCAGTACCCAGAGGTGGGAGTGCTGCACAGCGGTCTTGACTTTGTCCAGCAAAGCTGTCACATCTGCCTGGTATTCAGTGCCCACCTTGGAGGTCTCCTGCCTCCTTGCTACACAGAGTAGAGGGGAAGGATGGCAGGCATGCAGGAATAGCACGGGACCTCTGTGGGAGGCTGTTAGTGCCTCTGTACATGCTCAGTTGGCAGTGGAGGTCACCCAGGAGCTGGGTCCCATCAGAATTACTCACACCTTAACCTCCCTCCTTGGCTGCCCTTCAGCGCTGCCCCTGGCAGCTCCAGCCAGAGGCCGCCTGGCTCCGCGGGCTATGGGCACTTCCCAGAGGCAGCACAGGGCCTCCAGGGACTCCACTGATCTCCTCTGAGGGGTTACTGGGCCCTGGGGTGCCATGGCATGACATCGCTGAGTGCATCTTCCAGCTGAGAAGCCGGGGGGCTCCCCCACACTTGGCTGTGAGCCCAGAGTTGGCCTTGTGGCGGCCTGCCTAGG